TTCTCTGTGGCCAGAATTTAGTTTCAGTTGGCTTGTTATAATATATAAACTAGTTTATATATATATCATAACAATATATAAAAATTTTTTTTATATATTATAAAATAAATTATAAATCTATTTAAATTACAAAATGTGTGTGTGTGTGTGTATGATACATAACATTATGTACTAAATGAATTAGAAAAACAATATATTGATCAAACTCACTTAGGTGTTGACTAAACACTGGGTCTTGTTTTAATGTAATGGCAAGCCAAGAATCAGCTAAAACAAAACTAAAATTTGGTTTATTCCGCTTCCCAGGCACTTAGGAGAAGGAAGGGAAAGAACATGAATATGATTAATTTTCTGTTCCAGTCATGGAAATGAGTAAAATGCTACTTATATGCAGTGAGTATTATAGGAGGTCCTATTTCATTGGAAGCAAACATTTCTGTTATAAATTACTTTGTACTAATAACCATTTTAGCTTGAAAGTAAATCCTCTGAAAGTGTAATAACATTAATACCATATTTATTTCAGCAGCAGCACCAAAGATTATTCCAATCTATTAGGAAATTAGATTATTTGTTTAATTCATTCATATGCAACACTGAGGGATCAGTTAAATTAGTGTAAAACTGGCTTCAGTCTTCATTGTCTTGATCCTGACCAATAGCAAATTCATTTAACTGTTATGAAATACAGCCAATAAAGGTCCTAAGGATTATATGCAGCCTCAGCTAAAGTCTGGAATCTTGTTTGGGTTCTGCTTTCCTGCAATTCTTCATTAAGGAGGAAGATGCTTCAAGGAGTCTGGTCAATAGTGTTTCAGTCCTCTGTTCCTGGATAGGTCTCTCTTCCATTGCTTTACTTATTTTGAGTACCCTTGCTTGGATTTTGACTGATGATGGTGCAGATTAGTTGTTCTTTTTGGTGAGAAGCTGGTGAAAAAAATTAAGAGATTGATTTATGCAAAGCAAAACACAGGGGCTTCTATGGGAGTAGGTTCAGTTCTCCAGATCCATTCCTATTTCTCTCAGATGCAAAACCTTCATACAATCCTAGGATTTTCTGAATTGCCTTACCTATAGTAGAAGCCCCAAACCTTTTATTTGTGGACACTTGGAATTTTGAAAGTATGTTGTGGGGACTCTCACAGAAAGGTAAGCTTGGGCACTGACAAAATATCTATCCATTAGAAGGCTAACTAGTGGGTTGCTCCTTATCACCCCTAGCTTCCCAACTGACCTCAGTTCTCTTTTTTCCTGAGTGAAAGGGCATATTTCCAAACAAAGCAGTTACCATTTTATTTTTCTAACAATGCCTCTTGGGTTTATGTAACATCCAAAATATATTTTATGCATAAAGCTGGTCCTCTGCACTATCAGATTAGTTTCATATTTTGAAATATTTTTTAAAATAGTATGTAGAAAATCAGATAAGCAGAAAGCCTGGTGGGCACCAAAGAAGTTGATGATGCACACACTGGCACTCATGGGGACCCTTTAACTATGATTTTGTAGACTAAAGTGAGTTTTATATTGAGGAGCAACCTCAGTTGCTCCAAACTATATACAAACAGGAAAGTGCTGGTGAAAGCAGCTTTTTAAAAATCTCCTTGTCCCATTTAAAATATGCTCCCAAGGAAATGAAATTGCATCATTCTTGAAATAGTTCAGAATCAGGAACTCAGGTGCATAAATTGGCAGGATGTCATTGAAAGCCAAGGGACTGTGCTCCATTCCATTCCATCTTTTCTATTGAAAGATGGTAGTTCTTGAATGGTGAAGCTGAGTAATCAATGGCTTTGCATGCAATGCCAAACACTTTGCAGATACTATCTGTTGTACAAGTGTCACGGGCAATTTAACAGAAGATTTCTGGCCATTCTAGTTACTCTGATAATGTCAGCAACAAAAAGATAACCTTGATGTTGGCTGCTGTTATGCAAGAACTGCCAAAGCTTGGCCTGCTCTTTACTGCTGCAGTATTTTAACCTAAATAGCTTCTGACACATTGTTGGCACTGCACACACTTGGGGAAAAAAATGTTAGAATAAAAAACAATTGTAAAGCCTCAGATTTCCATTGTTTGGAAAAGGAGGTGTCAAAATGAAGTGTGACTGGTTACCAAGTTGCTTTACAGCAGAGGTGGGGAACCATGGATCACCTATGACCTCAAGCCCTCTTTTTTGCAACCCCCAGTCACACATATTGAATTTTAGTAGCAAACCAATGAGAAATTGAAACAACATCCAAAGTTTTGTTGGAAATAAATGAAAAGCAGGAGCATAATCTTCCTTTAGGCTTATAAAAGACCCCCCCCCCAGCACCATCCAGTCATCAAAACACCTCTACTGCAATCCTGCTGTATCCATAATAATAACATTAGTACCACCCAGTCACAGCAAGTCTTTGCTCCCCCACCAGAGCTAAACCCTCCAAATATTGTCAAGCCCACCTTACAGTGTAAAACAATGAAGAAATGAAATATTCATATATTTTTTACTTAATATGCCCAAGGTAGTAAATGTTTTCAGATAAAAATCAATTAATTACTTGGTACAGATATTGGAATAACCAATCATCCCAATATCTGTACTGAGAAAAACTACTACCTGTGCTTATTGTGCAATATTGTGCAAATTAAGTATTGTAAATTGTATATAATGGAATGGCTTCTGCCAAAGAATTCTACATAGAAATTCTGTCTCCTATATCACCTCTCCACAGCCCTATTTTTTATGGTTCCACCACGAATTGCCTGCATCCTTTCAAGTCTTAAGGACTAGGAAATTGTTCTTCAAGAATGAAAATAAGACTTACAGACATAATTGAATCTTGTAGCCAATGTCCATTTCTGCACTGTGTGATTGAAGAATGATGAAGCACACATGGATAGGTCAGCAGCGAAGAAAGTGGACATAGACCCTATTTTAACTTGGTTTCCTTTTTGTACTATTTTGCAGGTCTCACACAGATGACTCAGATCTGAGGTCTTATCACCAAAGCCAGCACTTGCCCTTTTAGATTCTTATTCCATCTGGCCTCAGTAAATCTGTACTTAGTGTATAAGTGGCTACGTCAGACCATCTCAATGCCTAAGAGCAGCAAAGTAACTCAGCGAGAACAGAGCAATGAGCCTGTCACCGAATCAGTGGCTGATCTACTGGCCCTGGAGGAGCCTGTGGACTACAGACACAGTGTCTTAAATGTGGCTTCAGAAAACTGGAACAAGCAGCAGGTTGGAGAGGAAGCAGATGAGGACAGGCCAGCATGGAACAACAAGCTACAGTACATTTTGGCTCAGATAGGCTACTCTGTGGGCCTGGGGAATGTGTGGCGGTTCCCATACTTGTGCCAAAAGAATGGTGGAGGTAAGTGACCAAGGAAGAAGAAACAATGCTCAACAGAGAAGACATCTGTTCTGCTTCCTTGCTCTAATGTAGAGGAAAGGAGCATATTTTGGCTTGAAAACCATGATTCTCATGTCATATTAAACTACACATGTACACCCATCATCCATTATTGGGTGGTTTGATCAGGTTTTGTGGTCTGTGCTTTAACAATATCTGAAAGACCTGAGATTCCCCATCCTTAGGCCACCTAGCAGGAACTCTCCAGTTTCAGATGGGAATCTTTTCCAGCCTTCTCTGTAAAAGCAGGTAAAATGTATAATCTATCATGCAGCTCTTGACTGTATGGTAAAATACATTACTTCAAGTGTATGGTTAAAGTGTATAGGATTTTCTTGTACTTAGTTTGTATTTTTTTATTTTATTTATTTAAAATGTTTGTATGGCTGCCCATCATAAACACAACTCTGGGTGGCTCACAACAATAAAAACCAATGACTATAAAATCATAAACCATAAAACCATAAAATAAAAAAAACAAAAACCCAGTGCCTCAATCATCCCCTTGGGATGCCCCACAACCAGCTCCAGATATCCTCATATCTGATATCCTTATATGATCAAGAGGACTCATCAAATAGGCAAATAGAAGCTGTTACCCTAAATCAGATTATTTATCTAGATTACTTTGTGATTCCATCATGCACAGCAAGCAAGTCCCTTATTTGTTTACTACTTTCTTGGTAAAAACAGTATCTGAACCAACAGAAGACATCTTGCTTGATTTATTGGTCATTCTTTGATTACACACACAAAGCCATGGTGAAAACAAATCAAATCACGATTATCTCAGAAATATTTAAATAAGCCCTCTTTGTTAAAGACTCTCTTGTAAATTAGGTAATCATTTCATGTATTCAGTCCAGTCTTCTAGCGATTTAAATTTGTCAAGTTAGTTGTATTACACAATATTAACTTAGTTGTTTAGTTTATATTTCAGATATAGCTTATGATCCATCATCTTTTAACCAACGTATTTTCTATGGTGTGATTCCTTTTTATTCTCTCGAACCCCCTGGACTGCTGGAAATAAATTATGGCTCAGGACTCTGTCAGCAGGATAATTCTCCAAAACTCTCCAGAACCAGGATGGAACCAAATTTGGTGGGAGAAGCCTGCAAAAAAAAAAAAGATCAAGTTTGAAAATGGGCTGGATCATACTACTATGTTATGCAAAAGAAAATATGGGTGCTTCCTATAGCCACTGACGATAAGAGGATGGGGAAGAATTTCAGAAGTTGTGCTCTGTGCTCTTTCCCTACCTTGTCTTTGGTTTTTTCCCCTTAGTATTGTATGATTATTGATGAATGTCAAAGACAAGGAAAGATTAAATTTTCAGCAGGGGGATTGGGAGAAGAGAAAGTGATTGCTCGTGTTTTCATGCTACTCTTCACCAGAAGTATAGAGATGAATATTTTAATTTTGAACACTTTCCTTTTGTTTTGATTTATTTTACAGTCTTTTTAAGGCTAGTAGGTTAACTAGAGTTCAGTAAATAGGCATCCAGTAGAAGCCCCAATGATGCCTCACACATCATGTCATCCCACAAATGACACAAGCTTATTATGATATAATTATCATTATGCAAATGACATACAGTATGTCATTTGTATGATGGCATCAGGACATATGTGATGTCACATGCTGTCTTGCCCCTCTGCAGGGCTGCTTTAGTCATTTTGACAAAAGCCTGCAATCCTGTTGACAGTCTGCTGATTATAGTGTGGCACACCAATGATTTTCTTTCTTTCTTTCTTTCTTTCTTTCTTTCTTTCTTTCTTTCTTTCTTTCTTTCTTTCTTTCTTTCTTTCTTTCTTTCTTTCTTTCCTTTCTTTCTTTCCATACCCATACACATACATACATCTATATATATATCTATATCCACACAAACATATTTATGCCCATATATGTACATAATCGGTGGCACTTTGCTAAGCATGGAACCTCATCCATTGATTTGGTGGTGGGGAAGGAGATGCTGGGGAGATATGGAAGAAGCTGAGGGTGGGCTGCTCATGGGGAAGATGGGGCCTGTGTCTGAGACCTGTTCTACCCTCCAGCCCTCTGTATTCATCCCCCCAGGCCAGGTCATCAGGTCCTTGATGGCTTTGGGCTCCAGCTGCTGCTACATTATTCCAAGTCTGTATATCACAAGACTGCCCTTATCAGTGTCCTGATTGTGGATGAAGGAGCTGAGCTGGCATGATAATCAAGACTTGGGTGGGCCAAGAGCAAGGAGTTCCCATCTGAGAGATAAGCCTACCTGGATTTCAAGTTTGGCACCAGCCACAAACCCAGGTAGGAAGGGTGGGGTGACAGATGATGATGATGATGATGATGATTTATTATATTTATAACAGCTTACATCCTGCAACAAGTCAAATTACCTTTAACATCATCAAACGTCATCTGCCTATCCCAGGTCCTTGGGAAGGACTCGATTGGTGAATAAAAATGCCAAATCCAATCTAAACATCTGGTTCACTGTGCAGCCAACAATAATAATTTATTAAATTTATATGCCCCCTGCCTCCCAACAACTCTGGGTGGTTTACAATTGTTAAAAAATATTTAGGAACAAAAAACAATGCAAAAACCCCACACAAAAGCAGCACAAGACCAAAAAACAATGATGGCAAAGGAAACAAAGTTGGAGGGGAAGAAAAAGGAAGAAAAGGGCCTTGGTCATCCTCGCCAAAGGCCTGGGCAAAGAGCCAGGTCTTTAGGGCTCTTTGGAATGTTAGTAGAGTGGGAGCCATTTGAATTTTGGGGAGAACCTCATTTGTTTGAATTGTAACCTTCCTTAAAAAGTAACACATGCTAAAAGTGAAAAATATTGAATTTTTTCAATATGTATCAATATTTTTACCTTGCAAAACCACAGATATTCTAAAAGCTGGGTGTGTGTGGTGGGAAAGTGGTTCAAACATATCTCCAGAGGAAATGCATTTTATTAGGTGGGAGCAACATAGGACAAGATTCTTTTTTTCAAGAAATGTTGGCGCATTGTGTTTTGTAATTCACATTATAAAATAATTTTCATTATTTTTGTAACGAGCATAGTTAATTTTGGTAGGTGATGTCATTTTTGTTCTGAAACATTCAAATTGTTTTCATGCATAATCAAATATACATATGTTGCATAGAGAGAACAGCTTTCTTCTGAAAGTGTGTGTGGCCCTGGGCCAATTTTTCTAGAACACTCTGTGCTCAAGACCTGACAAAACGGTGCTGCATTGGTTGGACATTTCAGTGAAACAAAGCAACTCAGTTGCTCAGCTGAATACCTGAATGTGCATCCCAAATTTGTATCTGCTAGTTGTAGCTGCTGATCCTCTGCAATACAGTACTCCTTTGATCTGTCCTTAGAACTTGTACCTGATTCTAGAGTTTATCTGATTACAGATTTCTTAGAATGTCTTTGAAATTCTGATCTTCTTAGCATATTGGGCTGCTGGAATGTTCTTGTTTTACTTGTTGTAAAATTATTCCTGCATTTATGTCATCATTTTTCCCATCACGGACTTGAAGAAGATAGAGAGGTTTTAGGACAGTTTGCCATCTGGACCCTGAGCAAGTTCAGAATCTTTGTTAGATTGTCGTGTCATGTGTATTTGAAGCTTTATGAAATATTCTGCCCAGGTGAGTTCACCTGGCACCTTCCTTGTTAACTTTTAGATTCAGATCCAGGCTTCTTTTTTAATATCAGACCTTTTGATGAATGGTGATTTTGTTTTTCTCTGCTGAAAATATCTACAGTTTTCTTTTCCTTTTTTAAACTTGTGCTTGATCACCTGTACTATTGATGCTCATTTTATTCTTTTGGACCACAGTCCTAACAGACTATGCTTCACTAATGATAGGAGATGCATGGAATTAGATCGTTAGTTTGCTGTGAATCATTGGTTACTGGTTCTATTTTCGAGTGTTTTGATTTTAAACCATATTTATTATTAGCCACCCTAAGATTTTCTTTAATATTTAAAAACTGAGAGTCAGGACTTTACATAAATAATACAAGGTGCAAACACACCGGCACTTATCTAAGAGCAATTTTATTGACTGTACCTGAATAAAATTGTACTGGCCTTGTCCTGAATGTTGTGCTTCAGCCTTTCTGGGTTGAATATTAGGCTATCACAAAGCTTCATCTGTAACACCATTTTAAAAATATGTTTATCCAGGTGTTTTCAATTTATGGGCCTCTAGCTATGTGTGGTCCTGACCTGTGGAACCCACTTTAGCCACAGACCTCCTTTATTGTTGTCCACATTTCTGGCTGACTGCTCATTGGTGGTCCACCAGAGAGTGCTGTTGTATTAAGAAGGAACCTAGTCATATACAGTAACTGTTTTCCAAGCACAGCTTTTGGGAAGGAGGATTTATATAGTATGTTTCTGCACACGTGCATAGAAATTTGATTGGCCCTTTCATTCAGCATTGATCAAAGTACGAAGCAGCTTAGCAATGAATGGTGGTCCTATTGCTGTAGGAAGTTTTATGCTGATTATTTCAGATAGTACCAGTACTGATGTAGAGGGTTGTGCTTTAGAACAGTGTTTCTCAACCTTGGCAACTTTAAGATATGTGGACTTCAATTCCCATGCTGGCTGGGGAATGCTGGGAGTTGAAGTCCACAT